TTGGTTTGGTTTGGTTTGGTTTGGTTTGGTTTGGTTTGGTTTGGTTTTCGAGACTGGGTTTCTCAGTGTAGCTCTGGACTCACTTTGTAGAGCAAGCTGGTCTCAAATTCAGAGATTCACCGAGATTTGCCTGCCTCTGCCTCTCAGCTGCCAGGATTTAAAAGTGTGTGCCACCATCACCAGGCATAAATAACATCTCTTTATGGAGCTATTCAGGGTGTATCAAATGTGGTAACATAGTAAGAATATATACTAAAATAGTAACAGTACATTGCTACTCTGCTTGTATAGTTTTGAAGGTAAAGGCAACCTTTCAGAAAAAGTGTAAGTTATACTTTTAAAATGATGGTGACTCAGTTAAGAATTTAATTATGAATAATAGAAATCATCTTTCTTTTTTTTGTTTGTTTGCTTTTTGGTTTTTGGTTTTTTGTTTTTGTTTTTCGAGACAGGGCTTCTCTGTGTAGCCCTGGCTGTCCTGGAACTCACTCTGTAGACCAGGCTGGCCTCGAACTCAGAAATCCACCTGCCTCTGCCTCCCAAGTGCTGGGATTAAAGGCGTGTGCCACCACCGCCCGGCTAGAAATCATCTTTCTAAATTAATAAAATTGAGAAGTTTCTGAAAGGGCATGGAAATGCTCACAAAAATCAACAGATATTTTGAGACATGAGCCAAGGACCAGCCTTGGCTTGGAAAGGGACTCTCAGGAAAGGGTGTTTGAGAGAGGCAAAACAAAGGACTGGAAGTCAAATCATGAGTTACAAGCTGATGACAATGTTCTGCTTGAGATGGCTCCCTAGACAGCTCTCTGTAGATAGCTTTTAGCCCTGTAGTCTGCTCAAGACAGCTCTCTCTTGAGACAGCTCTCTCTGTTTGAGACAGCTCTCTCTTGCTAAAAATTTTTTCTTAAAAGCTCTTTGGTTAGCTCATGGATTTTCTGACCAAAGACAGAAAAGCTGCCATTAAAAGTTCTTGGATTTTCCAACCAAGTCAGAAATCCTGTTAGAAATTTTCTAAAACATAATTCTTGTGTTTTCTGATCAAAACCACAAAGCCAGAGAACATTCTGAAAGAGCTGTGTCGCTCTTCAGACAGCCTTCTTTGGATGGCTGCTAGAAAACATTCTGAAAGAGCTGTGTTCCGTCTCTAAGTAATTCTTGAGATTCCTGACCAGAAATCCTGTTAGAAAAAAAATTCTAAAGAGCTGTGAAAATTCTAAAAAAGGACTGCTATCACTCTGTGCTGGCTCAACTCATGCAGACCAAAAGCCCAGTCTTTTACTTTTATATGTCAATTCAATCTTTTATTCCAGATTCCCTCCTGACCATCAGCATTCCATGACCTTAGCCCCTTGACTTTTAGAAAAAGGACAGTAAGTGCATCTTTTTTAACATTGCAAAAGAGCTTAGAGATCTGCCAACCTTTGTAAACTTAGCTTCATAGGACCTTGCCCTTCGAACACCATTTCCTAAAGCTCTTTATCTCCTTCCTTAGTATTTTGACAAGCTGGCTCACAGTGCAGCTGCCTCTGCTCTTTTAGGTCTATGAAGCTCCTTATATAATTCACACTGCATCCTTATATTTTACATAGTTGAGAAATTATACATTTTTGAACTCATGTTTTCAGAGTTCTTTTCCACAGCCTTATGGTCTGTCCTGAAAGTCCCAGCATTCTACCATTTTGCTAACACATTAGACACACCCTTGCCTCCCAGCCTCGTGCTGTTTCTGATTATCATGGAGCCATTAACCTTGGCAGAGAGGACATTTCTTAAAGGAAGATCATGAAAATATGTACATTATCATACAAACAAGCCTTACACCCATAGTAAGCATTGACACTCATGAAGGCCCTCCCTGCTGGCTCTGTTCCACAATTGGGAACCATGTCATTCCATCTTTTACAAGGCTCAGCAGAACTTGGCAGACATGAATTCAGAAACTCAAACAATAAAATGACTCTAGATGTGTATCTAGCAAGAGCCACAGTCTCTTGGGTTATGTCCACTAGAATTAATGAGCTCAAAATATTCCCAGTCTGTCTGTATTCTACTTAGCATTCCGTTTCCAGGTGGGAAGGTGAGTTGATGTTGTTAGGGTCACATGATAGCATCTGAGAGAAAGGGAGGGAAATATTCTAACCATCTCAGACCACTGCAGTGATAGGAGGAGAGACAATTCATGGAAAAGAAAATGTATTGACACTAATGTTGGAATAAATGTTGATTGGCTAACAAACAAAGATTTTATTTGAGCTTAAGTTTAGTAGACAAAGAGGAAATCAATAGCAGAAGGCAGTAAAAGCATGAAGTGGAGCATCTTAGCTGAGTCTTTCACTTAGGGAAGCAGTGAGGACACAGAGAATTGGTGCCTGATCATGATGGGCATTAAGTAACAGACTAAGGAATCTGGGTTTGGTATGGAGAACAACCAGACACATTTATTATTTTTTAACTTATAATTCAGCTGAACACAGAGATAGGTCCACAGTAAGCGAGTGAATGGAAATGAAAGCCTTAGGAGATTAGAAGTGGAGTTAACATCTCCACCAGATAGAGAGGTATGGGAGGAAGGCATATAACTGGCAGAGGAATTCAGCCTCTCAGTATGCACTCACGGACACAGGGGAGACAAGTGATAGGCCATTTTTGAGATGCAATGAGAAAGGCAGCTGACTTTCTGGGTGCATCAATTTCAATGTACAGTAGGAAAAGGTATCTTTAAGTGACAGTAAGAGAGGTCAGGCTGGCACCACCAAAGTGAAAATTCGAGGCCTAAAGATGGGCAAGGTTGCTGGAAACAGCGTTCTCTCTGTACGAGAATAGCCAAGTCAGAGGGAAGTAACGTTAGATACCTTCAGCCTTTTGGCCAGGGCATCTTCACTGATATTGGTCTCCTACTGTAGCAAACACATGAACTATAAAAATGTTACAGGTCAACTTTTCACTTTCCTCTTATGAGAACTGTATTGTCAACTGGGACTAAAGGAAACCCAGTAGCCATGAATATTAGTTTTCTGATGTCAGAAGCCCTGGAAATACCAGACCCCGTTTTGAAAAAACAAAACAAAAACAAACAAACAAAAAAACCAAAATCAATGGAAAGATAAGAGTTCCTATGTTAAATAAGTTTAGATTCTTTTATAGAACAGATATCCCTTTTTGAAGTGGTTTTGAAGTTCTAAGTAAAACTGTCTCTTCTTGGCGTATGAAATGTGTACAGTTCGTTTTTCTGAAATGGTTTAAACTTTAGTAACGCCTTTCTCCCAGTTTTAAATCAAAGTATTGTCACATTCCTTTCTTTCCTGGTCTTTTGTCTCTCTCTCCTCCTATGAATGGTTTTATTGTGAGAGCAGCATCCCAGAGACTCTCAGAAAGCCTGGGCCTCCAGCTGTGTGGCGCTCAGCATGAGCTGTCTTAACGAGTGGTAGAACAGTACGTGTTCAGTTTTCTTGTGTGACTTATTCTGTACTGTGCTGAATTAGGTTTCCAGAGAAAACTATCCAATTGCCAAGCCGTGGCTAAGTGCGTGTCATGTCACCGCTGATTCCCGTGTTTCCTGTGGTTGTTTGCTTTGGGTTTGATCTCCCTGCTAAAAGGAAGTATACCTGAGGCAGAGCATACATTTTCCCCATAAGTATTTATGATAATCCTTCCTAGACTATAAACTAAACAGAATTCCATTCAAGGAGTTGGAGGTTAATGATATTTGTGATTCCTATGACTTTTTCAGGATTTTGTTCTGTTCTTTCTCGTCTCCATGAGTAACAGTGAATAATGAGGATGTGCTAAAGTTAAAACCATGCTACGTTTGAATCTATACAAAAATACCTTCGGAGCCAGGAGGATGGCTCCAGCTGTAAAGTGTTCACCATGCAAGGATGGGAGCCTGAGTCAAATACCCAGAGCCGTGGGTGCCAGGAGCATCCATCTGGAACGCCATCATTCTGCCACTCGTTAATTCTGCAATGGCTACCTACTGTGTGCCCAGCAGCATCTGGCAATAGCAGTGCAGAAATATTTAAAACACATAAATTCATTTGGTCTCTAAAAAGACAGACAAAAAATATGTGAAAGAATCTAAGAAAAAAGGTCACACCATGAGCTTCACCTGAAACTCCAGAAGTGAGCAATGTGAGTGACTACAAAGGTTACGTACTTAAAAAGAGTGGTCTGAGAAAGTCTGTGTTAAGGATGCTACATTAAAACTGAGTATGAAAGACATACACTGTGGTGTGCACATGACCATACACGCACACACACACACACACAGACACACACAGATAGAGAGAACTTTAAGTTTTTTTTAAATATCTTTATTTTATTTTTGACAAATAGTAGTATTTTCATTTATTTTTCAATTCACCAATTTCCGTCAAAAAAAAAAAACTATGCTGGAACATAGAAACATTATTACAATAGACAAATTTCTATAATGGCTTCCCAAGGAAGAGAGAGATGTGATAATACTCACAATAAAGGCAGTCTGTCTGTTAAGCTAGCCATGCTAACTTTATTCTTCCTCCGAATGCATTTCCAGGTTCCCTCCTCCCCTGATCTCTAATGGCATCAGTGAAGTGAACAGCAGTAACAACTTGGACTTACAATTGACTTTTAGTTGTGATATAATATCTCTCTACTAGAACAGCTCAATTTTTAAAATGAGAATTGGTTCATCTCCTTTCAAATAACAAAGTTCTTTGGGCTTGATATTAGCCATGAAACAAAACTACTGTATGGATTTATGCTGATTGATTGTGTTATGTAATTGGCATCTTTTTTTTTTCTCTGCCTTTACTTCCTCTGACTGAAGGATCTGAAACTTGAACCCCTGGAAGAAGAAATTATTGAAGAGAACACTAAACCTGTGAGTGGTTTCCATCTCAAATTTTCAGAAACACTTTGAAGACAAAATTTACTTTCCTCAAAATCAAGTACCTCAGTAATAAGTTGGAACCTAAGTAATGAAGAGACACATTTCACTTCTAGATTTACCATGGCATTTATTATCATATGTATTATTCATTGCTTCCAATAAGAATAAAAATTTCATGGCATGCAAAAAGCATTAAGACAAACCAGTCATTAGCTCCTGGTTACTAAACTCCAGGAACACATTATGTATAGAGATTTTGGAACAGTCACAATTTTAGCAATTTTCCAAATAAGCTCCTTTGCTCTTTGCTTAAAAGGTCTTTTTCATTTTGCTTTGCTAACATGGATTTGTGGAGGCCTAATGCTTCACATTCAGTAATCACCAGTTGCTCATGTGAATGAACTTTTCATGTACACGTTGCAAAAATGAAGTTTTTATATACATATGAGACTGTGAGTTATTGCATTATTGAATATGATAGGCAGGGAAGGATATCATTCAGATGTTACCATAAAGGCATTTTGTAAACACCACTAGGTTGATTGTGGTAAAGACCTAAGCTGAAACCTAGTCCTGTCTATCACTGTATCTCCAGCATTTAGTTTGTGAAATACTAAGAGATCAAATCATTAACCTTCAAGAAAACCACATGGGAGGATACTATCATAGCCTCATTTCATAGATGAACAAAATAAGGTGCATAGAGATTTAAGTTTACAGCCGAACTGCGTTAAGTCCAACGCTGAACTTACACTCAGTCTCAACACACTAATAACACTGTCAATGCAGTATCTCTTGGTTTTCTTGATGGAACTAAGAAGCGGATTCTGACAATAACCACACCAGGCATAGGTCATAGGTCTCACGTGCGAGGTTTGTTAAAGGAAGGGGAGAGGGGGACACAGAGGCTGCCTCTGGGAGGAGGAAAGAAAGGAGTAGGAGAAGATGGCTTTTTAATCAGACAGTGTGGCAGATGCACAGGAGGACATAAGATAGGGGCAACAATGGGAATGTGTTGCCTCTGGGCAGCTAGTAGATGTCTTATCACCAATTCCCTCAGGATGCCTGACTGCTAACATTGTCACCGTGTCCCCTTGGACTGGCCAAGGAGGTATCTGATTACTAACATTTCTCACCACTGCAGTAGAGGTGCTTATTGCTAGCAAGGCTGTAGATTAACAGGTGATTTTTGTTTGTTTCTTTTTCATGAAATGTTTCCATCGTGAAAACAGATTAAAATATTTGGCAGGCTTATTTAAACATAGAAAATCTAGACATTATTGTATCTAACTTTCTAAGCACTGAACCATTGTATCATGATAAATCCAAGATGTGTAACTTATTTATTTGTTTGTTTGTTTGTTTGTTTATTTATTTATCCTAATTTTCCTCCATCATCCCAAAGTAAGAGAAGTAAGATATTACAGACAAAATCTTTATATTTTCTGCTCTAGTTGGTGGTGTGAATCTGAGAAAGAGGGCCTAAAACTGAAGCAGACTAAAGTCTCATACAATTTTCAAGTTTACTCAGAGCGTCAAGCCATTTATATACTCTGAAAGATAAGAAGAGTAACCTGAGTAAAGTGTATAATCTCAAGGACAAGCTTCACATGGCAAGAACATGTTTTTCCACAGATGCCTATGAATAAACACAGCTGAAGTATACTCATTCCTATCTGCTACACGTAGGAAAGTAGAAACGCACATTCAAAGAATAGTTCTGTGCTTTAGAAAACTGGGTCCCAAGACTGATGTGTTGTTTTCTTGGAGTTTTGTTTGTTTATGTTTCGTTTTTACAAGCACTCAAAATTCTCAGATGATTGAATTCTTGGACCACGTTCTAACAATAAGATTATGTATTCACCCTCGATCATATGATACCACTATTTCAATCTTATGTATCCAAACTTAAGAAAAACAGATGGCTTATTTAAGGACTCATATCCAGTAAGAGTGAAGTCAATTCAAAAGATACTTATACTACTTGCTCTTGAGAAAGAAAAAAGAGAGAGCAAGACAGGAGAAACTGAAGAAAACTTCACAACTGTCAAGTACTCTAGAGTTTTTAGAGGTACCTCAAATCTAGAATGAGTAAATATATAGAATTCATTAAAGAAAGTTCACTAACACTCACTTGCTAAAAGCAAAAGCATCTTTCATTTTAATCAGCCCACCAAAACCAAAAAACTAAAGGACCATCTATGGATCAGTCTGGTGAAAAGGTCCAGAAATAAATTTGTGAATACTATTTGTCAGAAAACAGATGAGAACGAAACAGTTATTTAAACTAGAATCAGTAATGTGGTAAAGGATATTATATAAAAATATACATTTTCATAAGGGGACATGGTCTAATATAGGGGGATGAATACCAAGAGCCAGAGGGGATATCAAACACCAAAAAAAAAGCAGCCTTCTAAATCTACATGTTCAAAGCTCACATGAACTAACTCAGAGAGATTGAGGCAGCACTCACAGGATGTCCCTTCCTTTAGACTCTTTGTGTTCTGTTTGTCTTGTCCAACTCCAATGTGATAGTCTTTATCTTATTACACTTTATTGTGTTATATTTTATTATTATCCCTTCGAAACCTGTTTGTTTTCTACTTAGAGTCAGAAAGGGGTGGATCCAGGTAGGAAAAGGAGATGGGGAGGAACTGGGAGGAGTAGGGGAAGGGGAAACTGTAATCAGGATATATTATGTGATTTAGAAAAAGAAAGAAAAGAAAAAACTATATTCAATAAAAAGAAGAAAAGACAGATGAAAATAAAGAATTAGTTACAATGTAAAAAAGAAGACACTTTACTTCTAAGGACATACTCCAGGTACAATTGTAATGAGTAAAGCATGCTCAGTAGAACAGGCACCAGTAGATGTTTATTCTAGGTGCCACCTAAGTAAACACAACTTGAAACAGTAACCACAACTTTATGGGGAGGGGATCTAGATGAGATCAGTGGCATGGGTCTTGTGACCCTGTGACTTCTTTTAGGTGTCTAAGGCCAGCAGTGCGTCAGCTTCACAGGTGTTGGGCAAGCCATTCACATATATAGAGATTTGGAACTGCTCCTTGTGGGCTTAATTCACAGTCCACCACCTGGTTTTATGCATAAAGTTGTACTGAGATTAGGTCTTCCCCATTTGTTTATGTAGCTCAGCAGTTCTTAACCTATAGGTCATGACCCCTTTGGAGGACACCTATCAACTATCCTGCATATCAGATTTTATGTTATGACACAGGCAAAATTACAGTTACGAAGTTGCAATGAAATAATTGTATGGTTGAGGGTCACCACAACATGAGGAACTATATTAAAGGATCACAGCATTAGGAAGGTTGACAACCACTGCTGTAGTCTGTAGCTGTGCTCACACACTATCACATTTGAGTAGTTGCAACAGGAACCAAGTAACACAGAAAGCTTGAAATATTTGCTGTCTGTTTACAGAAAACCTTTGTGGGTCTTGTTCACATGACAATCTCAGGGTCAAGAGAGAGAAAAGATGAAACTAACAGTTCCTTGTGTCCTTATTCGAAGTTGTAATGCAGCCACCTCTACAGCATTCAGTTAGCCAAAGCCAGTTAGAAAGCTCAACCAGGTCCATGGTGAGAGAAACAAAACCTGGAATTTTGTGGAGGAAAAAAAGTTACATTCCAAGAGGCCCATAGTTCTGGAGTAGTGAAGGTCTCTGGCCAATTCCAGCATTCATCCTACTGCATCATGTAAGGATTGCCTCAAGCTGAAAGAATTATAGAGAAACAGGTACATACAGGTCTACACTTCACTCCTATATCTAAGATAGTCCCTGAGAAATGCTTGACCCAGAAGTTCTTGCAGATGTCTATGAAAGAGTATGTCCATCACCATGTAGTCAGAAGTCAATTTTATTGCATTATTAATACTAAACCACATGGTAGAATCATACAAAGAGCTGATTGTCCATCCAAAATCTTGGGAGCTAGTCACAGATTTTCTTCTTCTGATTCTTGATATCTGACCCAGAAAGATGGATTGTTATACTCAAGATGGCTATTATGGGAAAAAATGGATCAATTTTATAAGATTGTTTCAATACAATTTTTAAAATGTTGTTTTGCCAGCATAAAGTCCACACAGTGATTCGGGCCCCATAATCTCTCATCTCTTGTTCCCAAGATAGGTCTTTCTCCTACCAACAGAAGAAAAACAAACAAATAAAAACCAAAAAGAAATGTAATGGTTCATGTCCTTCATAACTTTAGGCTCAAATGTGGTACCTAGAAATTCTGTTTGAATCTTTCAATTAAAAACAAAGGTGACGTGATCATACCTGAGTGCAGGAGAGGGTGTTACTAAGAGTCCTAGAGTGTGCCTGGAAAACAAGGAATGTGCACTGTGGGGTCTGACTATCTAATCTGCACGGACGCCCCTTTTAGAACAACACATCCAGACCCCTCTACAAGGGAGGTTATCTAAAGCTCTCTATAGGTACTGCCTGTGGTGATTTGAATATGCTTGGCCCATGGGAAGTGGCACTATTAGGAGGTATGGCCTTGTTGGAGTAGATGTGGCCTTGTAGGAGGAAGGATGTCATTGTGTAGGGCAGGCTTTGACGTTTCCTATGCTCAGGCTATACCCAGTGTTTAAGAGAGCCTCCTCCTGGCTGCCTGAAGAAGACAGTCTCCTTCTGGCTGCCTTCGGATCAACATACAGAACTCTCTCAGCAACTTCTCCAACATCATGTGTCTGCCTGCAGGCTGCCATGCTTCTTGCCATGATGATAATGGACTGAACCTCTGAAACTGTAAGCCAGGGCCAATTAAATAATTGCCATTAAAAGAGTTGCCTTGATCATAATGTCTCTTCACAGCAATAAAACCCTAAAACAATGCCTTACCTCACAATCTTGGATCTTATGAATCTTATTAATCTTATTAATATTATTAAGTCCTCTTTTTTTAAGGAATTGATCTACAGAGGTCTGACAAAAATGAATTGTAGATAAAGTAAACTAAGAGGAAAGAGAGATATAGAGACAGAAGACAAAGACAGAAAGGCAGAGATCAAACTGGGCCAAAAAGGAACAAATGAGGTGGGTGGGTGAGAAGCACACACCCCTCACTGCTTGATTGCAACAACGAATTCAAGCTGAGAGACACTTTTCAGCTAGGAAATTCTATGATTAGACACTGAGTCTCAATTCCTGGAATAGTCTTGCAGCCGAATTGTTTTTGTGAAAAATTTTTTCCTGGGTCATTAACCTCTATGATCATCTGTAAAAGCCAACTGAGGAACATCCCCTTCCTAGGGAACTGGGGTGGAATATACTATTCATAGCCTGTTGAGTGTTTCTATACACTTGTGGACTCAACTATAGTTCTAATAGCAAAACAGCTGAAGAGTTTGATATTCCATTGCCAATGCAATGCTGTTTCTCAAAAATCTGTTGGACTTATTATCAACTTATATACAGTCAGCTTCATGTGTGAGCTAGTATCATTACCTAGACATGGATTTTAGTCGTATTATTTTGCTAAGCCCTTTAAAGACAAGAAGTGATTTGTGTGTGTGTTCATGTGGCACTGGGGATTGGGCTAGGATTTATGCATGCCAGGCTGGTGCTCTACTACTGAAGCCCTAGAAGTCAGTCTTTTTCCTTCACTGCAACTCAGAACTCAGCATGTAGTATTTACTATCATGAAATAGAAAGCATTCGTTGGTATGTTAGTTACTCTTCTACTGCTGAGAAGACACACTATGACCAAGTCAACTTTTATGAAAGAAAGCATTTAATTGGGAGCTTGCTTACAGTTTCAAAACCTTAATCCATTATCATCATGGCAGGGAGCCTGGCTGCATGCATTGTGATATGCATGATGCTGGAGCGGTAGCTGAGAACTACATCCTGATCTGCAAGTCAGTCAAGAGAGTGGGAGAGAAGGAGAGAAGAAGGGGGAGGCTGATTGGTCAAAACTCACCCCCAGTGACACACCTATTCCTCCACCAATGTCACCCCATTTCAGTAAAGACACATTTTCTCATCCTAATCCTGTCAAATAGGGCCACTTCCCTTGGTGACTCTATATGAGCTTATAGGGACAATTCTTATTCAAACCACCACAACTGGATATATTTAATGCCTAGCATAGCTCCTAGAATACAATCAGTGTTTGACAAATAATAATTACTTAACAAGCACTGAGAAATTGAATGGAATAGGGAACAGAAGATCAGGGGTTGAACTCTAGTTTCTCTGCTACGTGATTAACAGTATTGGGCAAGTTTTGCTTATATTTCATATAATTCTTGTGAGTTGTCGTTCAAATTTGTTTTTACATTTTTGTAAGGCTATGTTCATACTTTCTGACTTTTTCTCTCAATCCTTGCAGAAGAAAAAAGGACTAATATTGAGACCTATACTTCCATGAAAGGCACACAGGCAGAGCTCTGGGGAAGACTTTAAACTATAACTGTTATAATGGTGATGAGATTTGTTGAGAGAAGCAGTTAGTAGGCAACCCATCGTGAGCTATTAAATGGGTGTATTAGCAATTTTCTTGTTGCTGTGGCAAAAATATTTGACAAAAGCAACTTAAGGAAGGAAGACCTTACTGACCTTACTATTTAGCTGGCCTTGCTGGTTTGAGGGTGCACTGTACCATGGCAGAGAACCAGCAGGGTGTGGAGGCTTCTGGTTATATTGTATCCACATTAGCTTTGCTTTCTCCTTATTCAGTACAGGACCAGAGCTCAGAGAATGGTGCCCACCACAGTTAAACAAGGTCCTACCAGCTAAGTTAACCCAATACAGAAACTCCTTCACTGACCACACACAGAGGTTTGTCTCTTAGGTGATTCTAGATCTGATCAAGTTGATGATTGTTAAACATCACACAGAGTTGTGACATTCTGAATAGCACTCGTTGTAAATGGGTAAACTATGATAGCCTGTTGAGGTTTGGTCTGTTGCTATATATTGTAATGTTAAATACCAGCCCCTCAAGGTCTGGTTGCCCTCAGGAACAAGGAGATCCCCACGTTAACCAAGTGATGCTATGTAACCTTGCACCCTGAGTTATCCCTGATTGGTCAATAAAGATGCCTATGGCCCATAGCTGGGCAGAAGAGAGGTAGGCAGGACTTCGGTCCCCAGGCTTGGGGTCTGACGAAAGACCATTATGAGAAAGAGAAGGTGGAGAAAAAGGAAGATGCCATGTGGTAAGGGATCCTGAGAACTGTCCATGAGGGCTGGCCAGTTAGAATAAGCAGCTCAAGCCGAACACAGCAAGTCATGTCTTGGGGTTATTTACAGGGAAGTAGACAAAATAGTCATAGAGGGCTGATATCTGTCCAGCACTTGTGCTGTTAAAGTTTATTATAAATATAAAATTTTTGTGTCTTTTATGTGGGAACTGAATGATCTAAGGAGGGTAGAAAACCCCCAATTGATATTAATATTTGCCACAACAATAGCTTTTTAATCACTGGTGCAACATTAGAAATGCATCAGTAAGCTCACATTTTTAAAAAGCAAATTGTCCATCATCGAATGTCACAAAATATCCAAGAAGCTGAGCTATGCAGAGAACGATAGAATGGCTCTTTAAAACTTGGTAACTTGGTCATCGCCACTGCCCCATCAGAGGCACTTTGAGAAGGTTTTAAGATACTGGTGCCTACGGCCTTTTACCTCTGCCTCACAAAAGGTGATGTTGAAAGCTCCTCCATGATTCTAATTGCCTGTCTTGCTTTTAGAAAGGCAATGTCTCGGTGCAGAGGGCACTCTCTTTAGCTCCTATTGCTATATAGTTTCAGGCTTCTGCATCACTTCAGGTATGGAATAGTCGCGTCTTTCCCTGGTTAGTTTCTGGCTGGCAGTCCTGTGGTTATGAGATGGTAACCTCCTTTTCCTCCTCAGCACATCATGCTTGTGCAGCGCCAGATGTCTGTGACAGAAGAGGATCTGGAAGAATTCCAGCTCGCTCTGAAGCACTATGTGGAGAGCGCTTCAGCTCAAAGTGGGTGCCTGCGGTGAGTGCTCATATGCCAGCCAGCCCTCCCCCCACCCCCAGCCTTACCCTGCTGGCAAAAGTGGGAGGTTAGGTGAGGGGGGAGATTCCAGAGCACTCTTCAATATAGTACTTGAAGTTCTAGCTAGAACAAGACAATTAAAGGAGATCAAGGAGATACAAATTGGGAAAAAAGAAGTGAAAGTATCGCTATTCATACATATGATAGTGCATACATGAATGACCCCAAAAATTCTACCAGAAAAATTTTACAGCTGATAAACACCTTCAGCAAAGTGTCTGAACACAAAATAAACTCAAAGAAACCAGTAGCCTTCCTTTATACAGGCATTTCCAAATCCTCATGTTAAATTCTGCAGAGCAGTCCAGCCTTCTAGGTTATGATATTTGCAGAGTTTAGCAGGATAGTTTCTGTTTGATCTTTGAACCAGAGTTGATTTAATCATTTGGCGTACCAAGGGAAATAAAGTGGAAATAAACTGTGAATGGGAAATGTTTCAAATAGATTGAAATCTCTCCTTCTGCACACAGCAACCAGCACTCATTGAAAATCATCTCTGTAGACTACGCGTCACTCATGGGGCTTTGGCCTTGATTGCCCTGTGGACTAATGATCATTTCCACCATTGTGGGAATTGCAGGGCTCTCCAAAGTTATTCTCTCAGACCTTGATTACTTCACAGAAGTAATGGCAGCATTTATTTTCTCTCTTCACTTCATGACTTCCTCTCAGCTATTATGTAAAGAATAGATTATGCTACACTGCATCTGTAGTTTCTCACTATGATTGGTCCAATAAGCCAGTGCTAGCATCATGTTCCACAAACAATGGTAGAATTCCTGTCATGAGAACTCTACAGTGCCCCTCCAAAGAGTATCCTCTCAAATGCTAGCTATTTGTCTAGACTTTATGATTACCCTGCCTTCAGATCCAGAAGTCCATATGCACAGTAGTCTGTCAATAATCCAGCAGTTTCTATTCCTTCTTAACATGCCTGAGACCTGACCAGGCTGCTCCATAAGTATACACCCAGCTGGTCTCTCATGCTATGTCAGAAGTCCATAGCACAGGCTCAAACTTGCCTGTGTTTAGAAAACTTCCACAACTTCTCTTCCTGTGAAATTATTTCAACTGCATTCCCTAATGTTCTTTAAACATTAGCAGATGTGTGTTTGTGTAGTATACAACTGTCTGCATAAAAACACATGCATTATGTCTCTCTTATATTCTTTCTGGTGGTTAATTAATTTTTATTTATGGTGAAAACTACATTTCAGGTCTTGGAAGAAAACTAGAATTAGACAGGAATTAAAGCTAGGAATACATAGCTTTGTGACCTGGGCATTCTCACTGACTGTAAACCTCACTTTTCATCATCAAGAACCTCATGGATGCAGGCCTGCTCACAGAGGCCTGTGGTCCCAGCTACTTGAGACAGGAAGATAACTAGTTGAGGGATTGCCTAGGTGACAGAATGAGTTTAAGTCCAACCTGGGCAATTTTAGTGAGACCTTGTCTCAAACACAAAAGGTATTAGGAATGTACCTCAGAGGTAGAACACTTGCCTAGCATGTATAAGGCTCTTTATTCAATCCCAAATAAACACACAGACACACACACACACACACACACACACACACACACACACACACACATCTCATGAAATGTTTGTATGTAATGAAACAGTTTATGTGTGAACTGCCCAATATAGTATCTTCCATCCACTGAGGACTGAAATGTGAGTCACCAATGCCTTCTTCCTGGCTGACCTCCCATCTCTGCAGTATGAGCATCATTAACTCCTCACAATCTCCCAGTGTGGCCTTTGTAACAGACACTAGGAAATGCTGGACTTCCTTGATTGCCATTCTATTTTGTATCAGGGTCATAAGAGCACTAATAAAAGCATTTCACTCTTGGAAGAATTAGAGATTTGCCAAAGCAGGGGTGTGTGTAGTTTTTAAAAGCCTACTCATTTAAAAATAAAACTGCTTCAAAAAAAATACAAAACAAGGAACCTATGCAATTGAAGAAGGTTGAACTCACTAAATGCTTTTTGAACTGCCAAAGAAAGAAGAAACGGCTGTGCCAAATTCCCAGGGATTGGTTAGATGTTTTATATTCGTTAAAAAGGCATAAACGTTTTTAAGATTCTGAAGCATTACTTTCATATGCAGTGGAACCTGGGTGCAAATAGTCTCAGAGAGAAGGAACCTGCTGTGGGTGGGTCAGAGAGGTAGTAGATCTGAGATGCTTGGTGCATGCAAACCATGCAGAATCGGGAAGAACTGTTCCTGCTGTGCACAGAGGAGAGAAGAGGATCCATTTCCTGAAGGACAGGCACACAGCCTTACCTCTTCCTTTGAACATTGCTGTGTCTCTTAGTGGCTCTCCAGCCACTTCATACAGATTCTTCACATTTCCTTTCCAGGGGTTGTCAGGAAGTATACAGATGTAATGAGTACCAGAAAATGACCACACGGGTGAGACATCACCCATTTAATTCAGCTTTTCAGATGTACAAGTTGATCAGTTCTGTTCTCCACATGTTGATGAATCATTAAATGGTACTAACGTCAGCCACTGTGATCCTGTGCACCCTCCACAGCTGCCTACTGCTGAGTTGGTGAAGCACCATGAATTAGCAAGGATTCATCTCCCATAATGCTTAGCTAAGCCTTACCATGCAAGACTCGGAGTGCTGCCATGGGGTGAAGCCTTAAAAGATTAGCAGTATTGCATTCATTTTCTTATTTAGTTTTCACGGGAACCATTAGAGGCATACATTGCATCCAGCTTACAGGGAAAAAGAAGGCCCTGGTGCATTAAAAAAAAAAAAAACTTGCCCAAGCTTCATTCAAAACTGCATGTTAAATCTTTCTCATCAGTATTTAAAAATAGTTGAATTAAAGATTCCTGAACTCTTTGTGGCTAACTAGGGGTGGAGCACAAACACAAGATCCTTCTGGTTCTAGTCATATCGGTAATAATCTTGTTAAACTCAGGCAACTGAACTAGAACTTGCTCTGAGTATTCACCAATAAATGTGAAGTCTGAGGACAGACAAAGGCTGGGTTATAATCCTCTGTCAGTCTTTAAAGGTTAGCGAGGGCTAACAAGGTGGCTCAGGGCGTAAAGGTGCTTACCATCAAAACCTGAGTTCAGTGAGGTCTATGTGGTGGGAGAAGAGAACAGACTTCTACACACCCACCCTGGTGTGCAAGCTGGTGTCATGCTTGCACACATGCACGCACACAATAACTGGAGAAGACCTCAGGCAGGTCATTCGTGTGAGTTGCTGTATAATGACGTATCATTATAAGCTGCTCACGTTCTCTGCAATTACAAATGTTCAGCTCGTTTTGTAAGAGAGCCATCCGTGAGATAAATGGAATACAGTGTGTGCTTAGAATAGGCCTCAACACCAAACAGGAAATAGCTTCTGTCTTCGATGATTTTTATGATCTAACATTGGAAACAGAATCCTTACTCATTAAGGTACTGACCAAATCAAATCATATGCTTGTCCTAAAATTCTATAGTTTTGTTTTTTTTTTCATTAGAACTAAGTGATCTCTGAGGCTACTCTCAGCTGCAAAATTCTAGAGTTTGGATATGTTCATATTTCCAGTAGCCCAGGAACCTTGTCTGAATTATATTCTAAGACTCACTCTTGAAAAAATCTTAAGAACTAATAGGATGCACTGAAGTATTATTAATCACTAATCTGTATGGATAAGATAAAATACAGTAGCCAAACCCAGACCTCTGAATGTAGAAATGTGGAGGGTGTCTCTCCTGTTACATCTTTTTGTTCTCACTGGTTTCGCCCTGTGGGTTAAGTAGGAACAGTCAGAGAAGGAAGGAAGCCAAGAGTAAGAGAACCTCTTCTCCACTCCTCATAGAACCATTTCACAGAGGGGTAAACTGAGATTGAGTAATGGGTCAATGGTGGCACACTTAATGAGTGGTAGTTCTATTAAGACATTCTTTACCATATCATGGTATCTAATCCTACCTACCTAATCAATCCTCTACCTCAGCCTTTCCCAGCTTGAGCACTGTACACACATGTGAATTTCATTAAGAGGGCAATGCTGGGGATCAAACCCCTGCTACACAAGTGCTCTACCAATGACATATATCTCCAATGCTTGATTGCTTGAGGGAAATCACACCAGTTACCCAAGGCTAGCCTCACACTTAAGATCCTCCTGCATCTGTCTTTCAAATGCTGGAATTACAAGTTTACAGGCCTTTCTGTGCTAGTCCAGAAAATGTAATATAGCACAATTACAGGATTAATACAATGAGCAATATCAATAACTAGTTTGTAAGAGGCAATTAACGATGCCCTGAAATACTAGGGTGGGTGTTTTAATCTTTATCCTAAAGACAGTAGAAGTGAAAGTTTCCTGATATACTATTAGGTTGCATTTGAGCACTAGGGATACCTTCAAGACACTAAATAAGCTATAGATTCTCTTCTGAGAAAAACGTGTATATGCACATTAGTTTACAGGTCACTTTAGAGGTTTATGGGAAAAGTCACAAAGCTTACCATAAACTCCTGGGGTAAGAAAATTGCAAAGTCTCTGTTGTAATAAATAATTACTATAGCAAATATTTATTCAGAAAAATCTTAAGTTGAACTAGTAGTATTAGCACATCATGTCCAGGGAACCAAATTATATTTTAAAACTCTAACATTACAACACTATAAGAATAAAAGAAACAAAATATCTTTTATGCATGCTCCATACTGCCATGAGGAGGATTTTTTAAACAAAAATAGATTAAAATTCCTTTTGTGAAGTTACTGCCACCTGGTGGTCATCAATAGGTGAATCCTAAATCTATTGATTATTTCGTCGGTAAAGCCTTAGAAATACTATGAAACATTAGACTAAAAAGATGTCATTAAGAATTCAGTTTTAGCAGGATTCAATATAAATTCAACTCAACAACCGTTAGCTGGGGGTGGGGGTGGGTGCTGTGTGGGTTTCGTTTTGTTTAATTTATTAATTAGTCTTAAAAGGTTTTTTTTTTTCTGTTTTGTTTTGAGATTACTGGACCATCATTAAATGTGTACTGTGAAAAGATTAATGATGTGTGTAAAGGACTTAACCCAAGTCCGTTAAATAAATACTGTTCAACTACAAAATGCGAACCAAAATACCTGTGCTATGACTAACTACAAAGAGTGGGTATGGTGCTAAGTCTACACAGCAGGGTAGGTGAGTGCTGTGCACTTGATTTTAAAATAAAAGTCATTTTCACTAAAAAAAAAAAAAAAAAAAAAAAAAAGAATTCAGTTTTAAGCCAGGATGGGGAGTGTTTAGCTTCTCCCTCTCCAAAGGTCTTGAAACCCATGTTTTATCTGGATCTTTCTATGTCAGAGTCATCACAGTTTCCCAAGAATAAAGTGGAATTATATGGCAAAAAAAAAATCAGTTTTACATGAATTCAGTTTTACATGCGTCTCAGGTCTGTCTCTTCTTGCACAAGCTCATGAACCTCATGAACAGGTCCCTCTGTCCCTTTGATCTGATGTTGATGTGGATCTTCCTCATCTAAGTTCTTTTATTTGTTCAACCTTTTTCTAGGCCTTACATGACTTCTCTGTACTATGCTCTACACTGCCATGAGCAGGATATTTTTAAAACAATTTTTCGTAAATGTTGGCATAAGAGATGCTTAGTAACATTTTTGAATGGGGGCTGGAGAGATGCTCAGTGGTTAAGATCACGGGCTGCTCTTCTAGAGAACCCAGGTTGGATTGGAAATATCCACATGGTGGCTGACAACTATTACCCTAGTTTCAGGGGAATATGATATCCTTTTCTGACCTCTGTGGGCACCAGGTATGAAGATGGTGCACAGACATACACAAAACACAAAATACACAACTAAGAACTTTGAATAGGTGTCCAAAGATATTAAACTAAAATTATATGCCAAAATAGATGCCCCAAACTATTCAGTTCTTGATAAAGCCATTTGATATTCTTCCTGGCTTAGGCTACTTTGTTTCTTATACATATAGGTAACATTGTTGGATACTACAGATTAGAAAAATTGGTTGTGTGGTGTGCAGTGTGAGTGCTCAGGGGTATGTGTGTCAACATCTGTGTGGGCATAAATGTACACACTGGAGGTCTGAGGCTGTGGGGAGTCTTCCTTGGTTGATCTCCACATTATTCACTGAGGCAAAATTAACTAGCTTGCAATGAAGTTCTTTTTTTTTTTTTTTGGTTTCTTTTTTCTGGGACAGGGTTTCTCTGTGTAGTCCTGGCTGTCCTGGAACTCACTCTGTAGACCAGGCTGGCCTCGAACTCAGAAATCCACCTGGCTCTGCCTCCCAAGTGTTGGGATTAAAGGTGTGTGCCACCACTGCCCGGCCTGCAATGAAGATCTTATGACTTTATGCTTTGCCCCCTGAGTCATCTCCCATACCCTTCCATTTGCTTCTCTAATTTCCAGGGCCCAACCATGCCTTTTCTATTTCAGTATCTCTATACAGAAACTTTCAAATGAATCTCGCTACATGATTTATGAGTTCTGGGAGAATAGCAGTGTGTGGAACCGGTAAGTTCGAAGGGAAAATGACCTGTTTTACTGAGTGTGGGTGTGGTGATGTACACATTGAAACATTTAGACTGTTGGAAAAGCTTTATTTGGTACTAGAGAGTGAACCATTGGAGCATGCAGAGTAAGCACTCCATCACTGTTACATTCCAGCTTCCTTTTACGTTTACGTCTGAAACCAGGTCCATTAAGTTGCCCAGGATGATCTTGCACTTACTCTGTGACCCAGTCAGGTCTTGAATTTGAAATGCTTTTCCTTCAGCCCAGAGTGGCCTGAATTCCAGACCTGCACCACCAGGTCTGTGGTATTTACTTCATCTTAAAACTTGCCGTCCTTGCACTGAATCCTACAGTCCTTAGAAATTATTTCATAGCTTTGAATGTTGATCCCACCTTGAGTATTTGCATTTTACTGACACTCTTGGTGAAACAATTAGACAAGTGTGGTGGCTTAAATAAACGCCCCCCACAGGCTCATAAGTTTGAATGCCTGGTTCATAGAAGTAGCACTATCAGGAGGTGTGGTGGTGTTGGAGAAAGTGTGTCACTGTGGAGGCAGGCTTTGAGGTCTCCTATGATCAAGCTACACCCAGTGTCGCACGCAGTCTCCTGCTGCCTGTGGTTCAACATGTAAAATTCTCAGCTCCTTCTATAGTACCATGTATGTCTGAATGCCACCATGCTTCCCACCATGTCAATAAGGAACTAAAACCTCTGAACTCAAACCAGCCCCATTTAAATGTTTTCCCTTACAAGAGTTGCCATCGTCATGCTGTCTCTTCACAGCAATAGAAGCCCTAAGACAAGGGTCATGGGTGTCTTAAGAAGTGATAGGGCGTGACGCTTCAGGAACTAGATATAAACTCTGTGAATATCATTTTATTTCTTTTAAATTTAGGCTATACACAGTGGCCTATATAATGTCCTTAAAACATTACAAATAAAGGAATAAAAGACATTGGAAAAGTTTGCAAACCATCTTTGAGAGGAAAAATGTAAAAAAAAAAATTGATAAAGTGTGGGAAATCATGTTTTGTTTAAAAAATAAAAGTAAAAAGGTGGCAGAAAGCACACAGGCACCTAGAGCATGCTCCAGGTAGTTACCAGGAGCTAGCATAATTCAAATTGGGGGTTGAGGATAGCTTATAGTGTTTTGTTCTTAGTGATTATTTGTTTCATGATCTCCTATACTTTATCAATGGTGTTTTCTGTCCTGTTCCTTATTGACAAATTGGGAAGGGGAAGAAATATTTTACTGTCTTTTGTCCTTAATGACTATTTGTTTCTAGCTACAATAAACCTAGTACTGGTAGCTAGTTGGTCATCACAATTTTAGCAGAATTTTAGTGTAACTCAACTCATATACTTAAAAAAAAGTTATTGCAGTGCTTTACTATATTACCATCTAGTAAATTACTAAGAAATATGCAATTTTAAAATATGACATGAAGGAACTTTTTGTTCTATCACATAAACAGTTCCTGATGATTTTAGGTAGTACAGAAAATATAGCTTTCCAACAATCAGTGTTTGGGAGTAGTAAATATGGTAACAAAGGGAAGGGAAGGCTGGGAAATGCAACTGATTCGTATTTCACCTTACACTCTTGTTTTTGTGCCTTCAAGGGGCAGTCCTGGGATGCAGCAGAGCACCTGTCAATGATACATAACTGACACTTAGTGTGCAGTATGAAGACACAGTGCCGACCATAGCACTTCAGGCAGAGACCCTGCGGCCACTTCAAGCATTCTGGCCTTTTTAAAGATAGTTTAAATCCTGGCTCATTCTCTAGTCATGGAAACTTTACAGTCCCTGTTCTTAGATGTCCTGTTCTTTAACTATGAACATAAATCAAATCAAACAATTTGATTTGAGAGCATATCAAATTGCTCTCATTTGTCTACTTCTCCTGGGATTTGGCCTACCTCCTATTGTAGCATATCTTATACGCTTATCCTAAATGCGTTTTCTTCTAAACTTCTTGTGACAATTACTACTCTTTAGGCTCTATTAAAGTTAAGTAGGCATCAAGAGCATCTGGACATATAGTTCAAAGCACTCCAAATCTTGACATCCTGGTTGAATTTGATCTCTGCTGTACTCTACTTAGGAAGGTTTTAAACAAAAGCTCACAGCTTTAACCTTTCACATCATTTTGCAGCCACCTCCAGACGAATTACAGCAAGACGTTCCAAAGAAGCAACGTGGACTACCTGGAAACTCCAGAACTCACATCAACTATGCTAGTTCCTGGTAACGCTCCTGGAGCATGCCCTACCCTGCCACATGCTTTTCTCCCACCACTGCCCTGGTATCACACAGCATGATCTCCAACACTTAATCCATGGCATTCTCTCTTCTTTCCTTTATTTACAATTTGGGGAGGAGAAAGAAATATTTTAATGTCTTTTGCTCTTAATGACTCTTGTTTCTAGCTACATTTAACCTAATGCTGATAGTTAGTCACCACAATTTTAGCAAAATTTAAGTCAAACCATATACATAAAAAATTATTCAAATGCTTTCTTATTACAATCTGAATGCAATTTGAAATAAGTGATAGTGGGATGGAGATTAGAATTATGTTAGAAAAGTTCATTATAATAGTTATGAAAATGATTTTGTAAGCGAGAGAAGAACAAGAGGAAACATGTTTGGAATGAAATTGTCTTTTAAAAATCTTGGAAAAGCTTAAGATTACTGAGACAGTTCACTTACTATTTACCCACTGACTCAGTTACTAACTAGGCGTATATTTACTGAGTAATAATGTGAGCCTGACCGAAGGGTTCCTGGAATACTTAACCTAGTTATTGACACTGTTGGGATCCTTCTCTGACTAAACATTTTGCTAGGAGCTAAATGACTACAGAATAAAAACAGTCTCTAAGGATAAAGGCTGTCTATCTAGTTTAAAATATATGTACATATATATGTATATGTGTGTAAATATATACATATTTACAAAAAGCACACATTTACATAAAAATGAAACATAGTTCAAAGCACAAAATAGATATCACTAGGGGCAATACATGCTTTATAGACTTAAAGAAGTTACCTTTCTCAACTTAAAGATAGAGAATATCTTAGATGCAATTTAGAGTTCATAGAGGTTTTTTTCAACGGGTAACAACATGTTCCAATCAGTAATGACTGACAGCTGAGACAAAAATAGCCATCATGGAGAGGGAACTCACCAAGCAGGACAATGACCAGGCCAGGGAAGAAAAGAACCCACACCAAGAGCCTGCTGGGATTCCAACTGCAGAGCCACAGTAAGATGAATTCTGAATGTGGACATGTGCAGATAAGAATTGAGAATCTGAGAGTTTCTAAAATCTGAAAATGGCAGCTATGATGTTTAGAAAAATGTAAGATATATTTCAAGTAAGCAAAATACCATTCAGACATAAGTATAGAAACTAACCAAAGTATATCCCTTTGAAACTTCAAATTCAAAAGTCAAATGATGCATGCTGAAAGACAGCAATGCAGGCCCATCAACTATCAGACACCATTCAGACACCAGGAGTGTAAAGCACTCAGCTAAGGAACCAGAATATCCTTGTCATAAGGGAAGAAGGCACCAAAGAAAGTAAGTCTGTGTGTAAACCATTTAAAAGCAAAGTTTACTCCTTTTTACCAAGGCATGCCAGTGGTGATGCTTCTTTGCCATTGGTTATGTTTGGGTGTTTACATTCATTGAGGCACACATTCTTAGTGTTTAAATCTAAACATATTAAAAATATTTGCTTGGACTGAAACATATGTAGAAGTACTTTATGTTGGTTCTTAACAACTGCTAGGATTAGGTAGACTGCAACAACATCAGAGTGTTTATAATCTTTTACAAATATGAATATATAATATATATTCATATTTAATTTTTAAAAGTCTTAGAAAACAAAATACAAAACTCATAGTATAATTACACAGGAATAAGTCAATATCCCAAAGCACCTAAAATTAAAAGCGAGAAAAACAATTCTACAGTTTGGACTTTTTCCACCCTGAAACCACATATTCTCATTATTTTTTTTTCTCCTTTCAGCTTCATGGTGGATCCTGAACAACAATTAGATGCCCCTACACAATGTCTTTAGTGTTCCAAGTGCAAGTGTTCTTATCTAAAATGTAAACTGTAAAGTCTCTCTGGCTGTCAATCAGTTGCACACTTTTGTTCAAGGTGTTGTTAGCAGACTCTTCTAAAGTGTATTCTGTAACTATTTTCAGTTGTTACTCTTGATATTTGATGGGAATTAACTTGCTATATTGTAATCAATCATTATAGAAAAATCCACATATATGAAAATGGCATATAAAATACGATAACTATGGTAAAAATGCTAAGTGTGAACTTCTAGAACATCGTATCATAGGCCAGGGTTTGTAAACTAGCATATGCTCTATAGTAGTGGTTCTCAACCTTCTGATTCCTGAGACCTTTTAATACTTTCCTCACATTGTGATGACCCCAACCATAAAATTATTTCATTGCTACTTCATAACTGTTGCTATTGTTATGAATCGTAATGTAAATATCTGATATGCAGGATATCTGATATGCTACTCCCAAAGAGGTTGAAACCCATTGCTCTAAAGTATCACATCTGTGGTTTGTGACTTTTTCAGTAACACATTTTTTTCTGTGAGAGGAACATTCTTCTTCCATAAAGTCCATAGGGTCCTCCAACTATTCGCTTTAAAATTCCTTTACTATTAACATAAATGCATAAAACAACGTAGGCTATAGCCTGTAGAAGCTCAGTCTATGTGTCATGTTGTAAACTGATATTTTACAAGTGAACAATCTATAGTAACTTAGGGCATTTACTATGTAAAAACCTTTATTTGTAAGTATTGTAATTCTCATATATAAGCTTAACATTACTGAGCAAAAAGGAAAGTTTTACTTTGGGGAAATTAAAGTTTAGGTCAGAAGGCTTTGGTGTATGATCCATATGAATAACTATTCTTATAAAAATGAACACTTGAATTTAAATGAAGATTTTTAAATTCAGTACTTTAAAACTAAAACTTCAACTCAACTGAATAAAACAATTTAAAACAAGCACAAAGTTTACAGCTGAATATACCTATTTTGTAAACTTTCCTAAGGCAACTAAGATAAACTATACATCTTATTTACTCTTCCCTATAAGCTCTGGTTATACACTCTGCTACAAAAATACACATAGAACTATTACCATGTTGTATTCTCATACAAATGCCTATAAAACCCTGGGTCTTAAGGGAAAATGCATATAAAATATTATGGTATTTTTAACAGTTGGAAAACCTAGGGAAATAAAAAGCTTGAATGAAAATTGCATTTCATAACTATGAAATTCCATCTCAAAATACTTTATGGAATAGTTTTGAACATTCAGTCCTCATAAATCTATGTAAAATTTCATAGTTGTTAGACACTAGCAACTTTTACACACACACACCTGCATGCATGTACACACGCACACATGCACTGTATTCAAACCTTAAGATGACAAGTACTATGAAGCAATGCCTGTCTCGGCTTTTTGTTACATGTTTGCAGGACAAGACATTTCTGGAGTTATCCCATGACTGCTGAGACTTCCTGCCCATTACGTGAAAGTGAAGTAGGCAGCAGAGCAACACTGTAGTTTCTGTGATCACAAACAGTAAAGCTCTGAAACCCAGGGGACTTTATTATATATGCTTCTGGAAAACCCTGTGATACATGCTTTCAAAATACAGATTACAACCAATCACAATGCTATCTTAACCGCTCACTTCATAACTAACCCAAAACTTCTATCAAGTGTTTTGTATACTAGGTAGTTTTTTCAAAGTAGCTTTTAATCTACCTATAAGTAGAGTAGTCTAATTGAAGAGGGGCTCTGCCCAGCAACAAAGTTTACAGAAAGGCCCTCTGGTTACAAATTTGAAGGAGGTTTGTAAATATATTAAACTAGAATCAAAAAGACTTGAGGAAAACAGCAAATAATACCTTGTTAAACTCTGCTAATTTTGATCTCAGCTATTATGCATATATGTATGTTTTAAGTGTGTGTGCATGTGTGTGTGTGTATATGTACATGTGTGTGTGGATATGTATGATAATACATACACATACTGAATCCTATGACAAAAAGGAAAACAGCAGGGGGCAACACAACACACACATGCACACACACAAACACACAATAGTGCTGTAGAATAAATATCTCATTTTCAAACAAGCAATAAATTTATGTTTAATGAAGGGTTTTTTTCCCATTAAAAACAATCCTTTCTCAGAGTATTCAAGTAACAGAATCTACTGAAAGGCCAAGCTGGGACATCTACTGTGGACTAAATGTTAGAATCTGGACAACAAGTCTCCCAAAAGCAGCAAACCAGAGGCACTGGTTTTAGAACGTCACATTCAGGAAGAGATACATTTTCTGATGAACAATGGCCTTGAATGACTTTCCTGTGATCACAAGACACAAATGAATAGAAGTAGTGAACTTATACTTACCTTTCTGTCTGCAGTATTTCTGATACATTTCCTGCAGTTTACTGCATTAAATGCCTAGGAATTAAAAGCTTAAACCTCCAAATCCTTTGTGATGAGGAATGACAGAATTGAAACTTAATATGCCTCAATTATTTGCAGCCTGAATTTTTCCTTATTTGGAGACAATTTCAATTTTATTTCCCCACTGCTTGACTCTCAATCATATAGTCTGATGAACATTGAGCATCAGCTATTTTTCAACCTCTGTTTTATTAAGTACCTTTTCAAATTGTTCATCTCTGCTAGTAGGTATAAGCCTAAGACCCGATGAAGAACCCAGTGAATCAATCACGTTTCTGAAAGTCTCCTCTCCGCCTGCCATTGACAACTATGCTTTGAACACCAGAATCATTCTGGGCTCTGTAACTTCATAATGACCTGGTCAGGTGCTGATGTGCAATCACTGGGGAAAAGACCAAGTGACTGACGTTAAGGGCAACAAAAAATTCTGTACCATATATACATCGTAGCAAATACTTTATATTTGAGAATCTTTACAGCTTACATTTCCATTCCATTATTACAAGTGGTGAAAAACAAGAATTGCAAGTAGCATGCAAATTATAATACAGTCTTCCCACTTCGCCAACAACATCCCCACTTTCGAGTGTTACTTCCCAATTTTTGCAGGAACTGCCTGCAAAGCTGAAACTGATTAGAAAAATTCTTTATACTTTAAAATATCTCTTTCTCCTTTTATGAGAAGCCAAATAGCCAACCATCAAAAGTAAAAATAAATTGAATCGTCACGGTCCATTAGTTATTGTTACTAGGTCCACTTCATTTGCAGGTGTCCAAAATATAAAATGAATAATTCTTTATCTTCAAATTCATCTGTTCTTAAAATGCTACTTAAAACTTTGGTTGTTTTCCTGTAATATAGAAGAAAGACAATTTATCAATTAGACTAACTGAATACAGTTTTCACAAATTAGCTTATTCAGCCGAATACTATGACTCTACTTCTATCTAAATGCATGTTACTATAGAAAGTATTAAAGTGACAAATTATTAAATACATTTGTATTTCAGTAAGCCTGTGTAATCCATTCTTTAAAAAGTAAATTGTATTCCAAATCTAGTGTTCTGTTTCTGTGGTGCCTAGTTTTATAAATGTTGTTAATGTGTAAAGCAAAAGTAAGCAATTCTGATGTATGTTTACTCAAAATAAGTTTGTCACACTTTTATTAGCAAAATAAAGTGTTGATGAATTATTTAAGCCTAAAATAAAAAGTGATTGTGTTTTATGTATATTTGAAATTTATATTTATTCTTACAGACCAAGAAATTATGTCCCCTTAGATCTTCAAACAAGTGAGAAAATTCAAGTATCTAATACCCTTTTTTTGCCAAATATGCATTTTTAAAGTATTATTAAACAACTTTACTTCCTAATTTAATTTTTTTTAAAATGGCTAATAAGCTACTGAGATGGCTCTGTGGGTAAAGGTGCTTGCCACTAACCCTGATGACCTGAGTGTGATCCCCAGGATCTATATGACTGAAAGAACAGTGACCCCTGCAATACTATGTTCTGACCTGTATACATACACAGTGTTACACATGCGCCTCCATACACACACACAACAGTCAAAATAAAAATGTTTAACTGGCTTGAGGAGCCTAAGAAGTTTCAATTATGCAATACCGATAGAAATAATCAATATAAATATTTTTACTTATAACCAAAGAAATGTATTTACTTATCGTGGGGATTTGTATGTGTGTGCTAACTGAAGCACAGATACACATGCATACAGACCCTCCTTACCCTCTTGAGCTAAGGTGTGTCACTGAACTTGGAACTGGTTGACAGTCAGCAAGCCTCAGCAGCCCTCCTATTTCTATATACACTCACACCTAGCTTTTGATAAGGGTTTTGGAAATTCAAACTGAGGCCCTCATGACTGCACCTGCTCCTGCCCACTGAACTGTTATCAGCCCAGCCCCAAGCATGACAGTAGAAATGAGATGGATTTTCAAGATTTAAAATTGAAAAATTTGGAAAAGTGGATAGTATTCCATAAGCCATAGTGGAGCTTTTCTCAGCACACTGATGTTCCAAATCTCATCTTAAAATTGCTTTTACCTGAAGAAAAAGGTGATTTTGAAAATAATCAAAAAATGCAAAGGTTAGCTTCTGGTCTGCTATCCTTCTCGAGCCAGATCAGCAGGCCCGATGAGCTCCCACAGGCTACAGCCTGCCTGCCTGCCTCCCAGGAGATCCACAGTAACCAGGGACACAGGTGAAAATCTCACCCAAATACCCACGCCAGCTGAGACACCCACAGAACCCAGCCAACATGGGACTTACCCATTCTGCCAAACTCTACCTTCCTTCCATTCTGCTTCTCCACCCAGGCCAGACCAGCTGGCCAAATACCGTTCCACACTCTACAGCTGATCTGCCTCCCAGGAGGTCTGAAGTAACCAGGAGCACAGGAGTCATACCCTAACCAGAGACATCGCTCCCTGCCTCCAAGGATACCAGATCTAACCCAGGCCTCTACCTCCCTCCAGTCAAAGACAACCAGTCCAGTTAACACCAGGACAACCAGATTGCCAGAGGCAAGTGCAAAATCATAAGCAACAGAACCAAATGCA